ATAGAGCAAGTTGCCGGATTCGAGGATTACCGTGTCCTCTCCATCTCTTCGGACTTCGGATAATCCTATAATATGCCAGCGCAACTTGTCTATCTCTTCTTCCAGCTCCACGATCTTCTCGTCAGTCCTCAGGGTGCGTGCGTTGTACGTTATCAGGTCGAGTCGTCTAAGGTGGCAACCGAACCTCCACCGGAGATTCTTAGCACCCCCTGCCCCGCCGTTACCATGGTCGCCACCGTAGCCAGGAATAGCGGGGCCGCCGGGGACTGGGGGCCGTCTCTTTGTTACATTCATAGGGGGGTATTTGCCATAGTTGCCACGCTTGGCGAGCGGGTTGGCAACCGCAGTTTTTTTTTTTTATTGTCTGGCTATTATCAGGAAGATGCTGCTGCCCATCTCCTGCCTGTTTCCCTTTGTCGCCTTTTACGACACCCACGGGAGGATATGGGGTAGTGGTATTCTTGACCGCCACTACACGGCAAGGCAAATATACTACTTACTTTTAGTACGTACTACTATTATTTATTCTGTGCTTTTAAAATATTGTAATAAAAAAAAACTCTTATTATTATTATAATCAAGTATTTAAGAAATTTGGTCTGGTGAAAACAATGTCCACTCACGACGGCGACTGAAGCCGAACCAAAGAGTATAGTAACTGTCCCAAGCCGAACTAAAGCTAAACAGTATGTGACTGTAGCTCCCCATTTACAGAAATAATTTACGTACAAGGCTACCAAATCAACGAAAATTTCGCCATTTTGGAGCCGAAAAAAATTAATTATAGCTAAACAAAACAAAATTACACTGCCATTTATTCAGTGGGTTTCCACATGATAGATGAAGAGATTATAAAATAGATTGAGTTAAACAATTGATATTTTCAAAAGTTAGAGTGTTTACAAGCCTTGCGGACATGATAAATCCACACCATAAGCCATTGATTTAAAAAAAAAAGTTCAACAATCATTTATCTTTCTAACAATGTGCTTTTTATATCATTTATATGTATAATATGATTGCTAGATACGATTTTATTCGATAAAACGTTGGAGTCTTAATTTTTAGGCGATAGTAGGATATACCTTGCGCTTTCGCTTAAGGTATGCAAAAATAAATATAGGTGGTAGATCTACTAACTTTTCGAAGTAGAATTGGTAGGAAACTCAACTTCTGAAATCATATTTACCTCCGAGACAAATTTCAGATTGGTAAAATTGGCGTAGAGTATAATAATAATAGTCACTAGTAACTCCTTCCGCCGCCCGCAAGCCGCAAGTTCGCGCGTACTACTGACTGATCGCCAAACGTGTGGATATATCGCAAACACGTTTGTCGAACACCTTTGATCGGTGCATAAAAACCGACACCAACGCCGATCACTAGCAATCACATACAAACAAACAAACAAACAGGCGAACAACCATCCACACGTTCGTGATTGCTGTTTGGTGTATGCTGTTTGCCGTTGTTTGCCAAGCGTGTGGATGAGGCATCCTCCGTAGGAGTAATAGTGTTCTGTGTTTGATATTGCCGCGAGCGCGCCGCACGCGTTAGTCGCCAGCTTGCCCGCTACTTCCACCGCACCTGCATTTTGTATGTGAACACTTGCATATAATGCTATGTATTTTTCCTGCCCGCACCCGCGAGTTAATGTAAACAAGCACTTATGGTCTGTGACGAAAACCGGAGACTTTTGTTACTGGTAACGAGGTCTTTCATTGTAAGTCGCAGGGGTGTATGCTTTTCAAATTGGACACATCTACAATTGGAATTTTAACCCAGGACATGTAGATGTGTTGACACAACATCTTATACCGGGAGGACTGTTTGTACGCTTGTCACTCTTCTGTAAAAAAAAACAACTATTTAAAAGCGACTGCGTACATAGGGATTGCAATCCGGAAAAACGGATCCGGTGATCCGGCATCATCTAACGTTTGCCGGATCCGGTACCAATATACCGGACCCGGCGACCGGATCCGGTGCTAGCAATTTTTGGCAAAATAATAGAGCTGTTATATGAGTAGGTACTTTAAATGCGTGGTAAAAGAGATTCGACCATGTTAAATGCAGAAATAACATTAAAATTTGTTTTAAAGAAGTTGCTCACTCATGACACTACGTACAAGGATTAAAGAACGCCGCACTGTAGTACTCGTAATAGGCATATTAAATATACTTACAGAATCCAAAGAAATATCGTGAAAATGTAAACCGATCTGATGATACATTTACTAAGCCAAAGAAAAAAGCCATACGATTAGAAATGATAAAAATCTTAGAAAGAGTTATTAATATAAGATCATTAATATAAGATGATAACTCTAAACATACTAAAAAAAAACGGTTGTCTGTAAAGTCGGTTTACTGACGATAGTTGAACGTGACAACGCCGATTGTGCCTCTTTGTTGCTCGTTCCGCGCTCTCGCTTGCACTTCAAGCTTTAAATAGGATGCCTCAGAGTGAGGTAACGCCGCATGAGTCATGTTTTTTCGTGCATGCAGCCAGCTTCATCGAATTATAAGACGTTGTCACGTCAAAAGATAGATTTTGACAAAGTACTAAAATAGGAAATGACTATATTTGAAAGCGACGGAGTTCGAGGAGAATTCTTGTCTGCTATTCATGATTATTTGCTGACAATAAAGCCTACAAGTGTAGAAGCTGAAAGGGCCTTTTCTGCCGCAGGCTATATTTGCAGCTCTATTAGAAGTCGACTAGCAGATGTCACAATTAACACTATTTGTTTTCTACGATCCTTTTTTCAAAATTAACATTGATTTTCTTATAATATATTATAATGAATACTAAGATAATCATTACTTAAAATTCTACATAAAATAATTATTTATCGTAAGTTGATTAAAATAAAGAGTTGTAATTATAATACAAACTCATTATTGTGATAATTGTGCCATTCATTAGAGAGATTCATCAAATCATGATGATGTCTGTCATAAATATAAGACTTGTTTGTTAGCATTCTCAAATACTTTAATAATTATTGTGATCTCGTCTCAGTAAATTACGTAAGGTTAATTATATTAGGTTTTATAAAGTTACTAAAATAATTGATCTATTTGTGAAAGTAAAATCTAAGAAGACTGAGTTACTCGTTACATTGTTAAAATTTTACTAGTTGCCTACACTACTAGATTTTAATTGTTTGCTCGTTATCTAAGCTTAACATTGGATCGGAAATAAGTTGATTTTATGTACATGTTTTATTTTTTATAAACTGCCTATATAACGTCCAATGACACTTGATTACCCGACTAATAGTTCATTTTGAACCGAAAATAATCCTGATTTGATCAATCCGACCGGATCCGACTGAAAATGTCGCCAGATTTCAATCACTATTCGTACATCAAGAGAGGCTTCTAAGGAGACCGGATATCCGTCCAGATGAACACTTACTAGAAGGTCCAATGGAAAGTGGATATTTCTTCACAGTTGGCATTCGCGTAGACGAAGTAATCACTTGTATTAGACAATACTCCAAAGTAATAAACAGATCTCCCCACATGATCACTTGAGAACCAAGCCTTTCTGCATGGTTAGTGTTGAAATATGGATGATGATTACTCAGGATCACAGTCTCTAGTTATGGAATCGGTTGTGGAGACCGAGGCGAAAGGCGCGTCTAGTTTTCTTGGCGTGCATTACCTGAGAGGGAGAAGGGGGAAGAGAAGTCCTCTTTCGAGGAGGGGCGGCCGGCGCTGGTGTTGCCGCGGATATTTGCTGCTAATATGCGGCGAAATAGGAACAACATGGCTATAGTCGGCGAGAGTCCGATATAACCCGTCCTTGCCCCTGCGAGGCGAGTATGTATAGTATATTTTATGTTTAAAAAGAAGTAAATAGCAATAATGTGATTAAAAATTAGTCACATGAACGGTAATGACATATTTTTGTAAATTTAACGTGGCAGATCTCTTATTGCATCAATAAATTTAAACAATTTGGCATTTTTGTAGGCCGTCGATTCAGTCGTATAACTAGATTTAGTTTAGTGAGCAGTGCGGATGCAACTTGTTTTATTGTACGCATAATAGGCTTGGGCAAAAAATATCGATATATCGATATTTAAAAAAATATCGATATATATCGTCGATATTAAAAACGCGATAATTCGATATATCGATATTTATTTTAGAGTATCGAATTCGTATCAATTTCGATATATTTTAATATGTTGTATTAAAATATATCGAAATTGATACGACTTGTAACAACAAAACGAGTTACAAAAGTATTCATGTGCGAAAAGTAATATAATATTTTGGAACTTTTCTTTACATCATGGAAATGATGATGATATATCGATATTTCGATAATTATCACGCGATATATATATCGATACTGTTTAAAATATCGATTAGATATATTTTTTACCCTTGCCCATCCGTATAAGATCGCGTGGACTTGTACTATGACGGAGGGGAGCGCCTGCGTATAACTACTTCCCTTCAGTCTGCTGGTGGCCAGTGTTGCTCTATAAGTGTGGTACATCAAAGAGGTAACAAATTTTTTTTCATAAAAGCAAAACCGATAGGTTGCTTCCAGTCTGGTGTTATATCTCGGAGCATTAAGGTTAAGCCATACCTTGCAGAACAGGTAGCTGTAGCCCTAGGGTTGCCAACATTAAATTTAAAAAAAACTAGGATTTGAAGTTGGAAAAACCAGGACAATTCAGTTTAAAAACAGAACGCAGTAAATGCCTTGTCAAACATAACTGCGAACCGAACCGAAAACATGGCGAATGTATGTACTGTGAAGCAACAAGAGGCTAACATCACAAAAACCAGAGTGTATGCAAGTATCGGTTTGTTCTCGCTTTTTATAATAAGTGACTAGATTCAAATGATACCATGCATAAAATACAAACCCTTCGCCACGCTATCGGTTCGCTGTTTATTGTACTCGGGCTTAATAGAGTTATAATAGTTACATTAACGTGTAGTCAAATTAGGTTAAATGAAATTCAAGTAATGATAATAATCATGTTTTTTAATAAAAGTATTTGAATAAAATGGCATGACTTAAAAACGCCTTATTAAAATATAAAACAAAAACTTTTGAAACAAACGTTTGTAACAAATTCTTTAAACTTAAAACTGATCACACTTCATACTTCAATAAATAGTTTTGATGACTGCCGCTACTTGTTGGCAGTAATCGATTTCTTTCTTTTGACCACTGTGAATTTATGAGAGAAAAGACTCTCTCGACTGTGGTGTTTTGACTTTTAGAGCGCTTTATAAACCCAGGGTCCTGGTCCTATCGCTTTAAAACCCAGGACGCTGCTTAAAAACTATATAGGACATCCTAGGACACTACAAAAACTAGGACATGTCCTGGGAAAACAGGACGGTTGACAACCTTATGTAGCATCTACTTCATGTGAATTAAATATTTTCCTTTTTAGTGTTGTACGATAAGCCTTAATAATTTGAAACTTGTCACATTCATACAAAGGACACTTTTTTCAGACGATGACATGTGTTTGATTATAGCAGTTAAAATATCCCACATTTGTTGGTTAACTTTATCTTCCATAAGCATGTACATGTTGTCTGAAGTTTTTGGCGGCAAAAATTGTCTTGGACAAAAAACAATAAGCGAGTAAGTTTATGTAATGCTAAACAATTTAAATTCTCTTGTGTATTTATTGCATTCAGTGAGGTTTTAAATAAAAAAAATTAATAAGGGTTATTATGTACTAAAGAGTACATGATTGATAATGACCTAATTCCTGCGAACTAAGGATGAAAACATTTTAGAAAAGTATGGTAGCGATCACGCTACCATTCTGTTTCTGAATGTTTTCATACTTAATTGTATAACATATTATTTGTAAATGAATGTTTCAAAAAGTCCTGCTGGGTTTCTTCCCAGCACACAGGTTATTTTACGAAACAGTGGTAAGGCATAAATGACTTTCAGTAAGTATTCTTGTTTCTTGTCTTCTATTTTCCTATTTTATATTTTCTACACATTTGTGCCTTCACTATGGCACTTAACTTAGGAGATAAATATTTATCACAGTCTTTCAAAAATTGTTTCTTAGCTATATTTTCAAAATTCTTGCGACATTTTAACTTGTTACTTGTTTTTGATAATCGTATTTTAATTTTAGGTTTCCGAGGGATATAATCCGTCAATCTGGTTTCTGTCTGGGTACTACGATTGATACGTATGTATTTTTTATTATCACTGTCTCCAGCAATTTGTGATGAAGAAATCCCTGATGTATATTGTTTCTGAGCCAATTCTGAAGATAAATCTAATTCTGAAACATTTAAAAGTTCGACTTCCGGTTTTTCTGATTTAACAATCCTGTCCAAAGATGCAATTGGTGATGAAGAAATCCTTGATTCATATTCTTTCTGCGCCATTTCTGAAGATTCATCTAATTCTGAATCATTTAAAGGTTCGACTTCTGGTTTTTCTGATTTAACAATCCAGTCCATAGATGTAATTTGTGATGAAGAAATCCTTGATTCATATTCTTTCTGCGCCAATTCTGAAGATTCATCTAATTCTGAATAATTTAAAGATTCGACTTCTGGTTTTTCTGATTTAACAATCCAGTCCAAAGGTGTAATTTGTGATGAAGAAATCCTTGATTCATATTGTTTCTGTGCCAATTCTGAAGATTCATCTAATTCTGAATCATTTAAAAGTTCGACATCCGGTTTTTCTGATTTAACAATCCAGTCCAAAGATGCAATTTGTGATGAAGAAGTCCTTGATTCATATTGCTTCTGTTCAAATTCTGAATATTCATCTAATTCTGAATCATTTAGAAGTTTGACTTCCGGTTTTTCTGATTGAACATTCCAGTCCGAAGATGGTAAAAGTAAAGTCGGTACGGCTGTTTTCTTTAGAAATCTCTTACCGTACATAAGTTTTTCAAAATGCAAACTGCACATGTATGTATTCTTTAGGCTTTCACAAGTTCTGTCCGCTAAATCAGGTCTTTTACACGCTTTCACCCAAATTTTGCACCTGAAATAATTCAAACATATTAAGTGTTTTATCTAAGGGTTAAATATCCAGTTGCGGAGATACATCATTTTAATTTAGAGGTAGAACTCTGGTAGAACTCTTCTGCCTAGAAGTCTGTCAGGGTAGGTACCACCCTCAGTTCTACCGCCAAATAGCAGTATGTGCACTGCTGCATTTCGTTTTGAAGGCCAGTATCATTATTATAAGTTGGTACCGTAAACTGCCGCAATCGAATTTTGAACCTTTTTGCCTTTATATCAAAATTTACCTTATAATATTAAAATCTATTGCATGAAAAATAAAGTGTAAAGTTACTTAGGATCTTGTTTATAATGCTTGGACTCACAATGAATCTTTGCAGAATCTTAGCCTATTGTCGATTTTATGAGCAGGCAAAGATAGGATCATTATCCATACAGCATTGCCTGATCTCTTATTGGAAGTAAAAACGTTATAATTATTTTCAACTTTTAATCTAAAATGTACCATAAGCTTCAGTTTACTGGATTGTTATTCTATTATCGTTATTTGAGCCTTATATCTTTGTATATATGATGAGACAAAGTTAGGACAGAATTTTGTTAAGTTTTTATACAGTCAATCAATACCTAATACATAAGACTGTCACACAAATGAGACTTAGTTTTTTTTAATAGTTTATTCTGTAAAAACACTTGTATTTAAATATTCATCTTTAATTATCTACAGCTTTCATCAAACTAAGTCTCAACTCACTGTAGTTTTAAATTATACAGTGGGTTGAGACTTAGTATGATGAAATCTGCGGATAATTAATGATGAATATTTAAATACTTAAGGTATTGAAAACTTAACGAAATTCTGTCCTAACTTTGTCTCTTTTTTATAGGATAAGGGTATATGATATCTTAAAAAAGTAAAAAAATCTTTAGTTACATAATATGTGCCGTATTTCTTTGAATATCAGACCGGAAATAATTACAATCATATAAACTGCATAATCACAATAAATAAAATATATTGACGAATGGGGCAGCTCAAGTGAGTGAAGAGAACCCGAGATCCTATTTCCTGGAAAGAGGCATTCCATTTTAGTCCTCACGGGTGACAACGCATCTGCATTTTGATTCTTTATTGAGAATAGATGTAGATGTCTGTGGGTCACAGCAAACACTTACCATCAGGTGGACTGTGTGCTTATTTGTAACTCTAACCTATAAAAAAGAACGATAGTTTAAGAAGAATCTCTGGTACTCATTATAGAAGTCCCTTATAAGGGCGCCACCGACATATATACATAGAGGCAAAGCTTCATACAAATTTATAAAAAAACCGCGCTATGAAAGGTACACTACTGGCAGCTTAAGTCGCGTGTATGCGTGAGCACTGACGGCTGGTTACTTACAGAGAGAAACTGCTTTAAATCGGCTCGGCCAGTGCTCAGGCTCGGGGCGAACACGTTGCGTATCGTGCTTGTTTTCGTTTCACGTTTGATTTAAAAATAAAAAAATCTTCATGTAATATATATATAAAATGTAATATGGCTTACTGTACTATGTGTATGAACAATAATAGAACGTATATATACAATTAATAATGATTATTAATAGTACTTAATATTGTAACTTGTTCAAAGCAAATAAAGTTAATAAAAATATGTCATTTTATAATTATTATCCGAAAGACCCATGTGTAACTAGTACTTCTTGTACTATTATTTATTATGTGCTAGTACTTAATTAACATTTATTATTTTAAATCCGGTTGATTAAATCTCATACATATATGTACGTCAATAAATTTATCATTGCATTATTGTCGAATTGCGCGAATATTTTGATTTCGAAATAATCATTGTTAATATTGATAGCGATATAATAAAACTTGCGCAAGCTTGTATATGCCATGTGACTGCTTTCTATTACATTATTTAAGAAAGAAACTTTATATTACGTTTACAATTTATTATTCAACTAAAGGGCGCAACAAATGATTCAAAAAGAAACAAAAAATGTTTAGAGTAGGGAAATATTTTTTTTTTTATCATAGATACATAATAAAAAGCTGATAAATGTTTTCTTTATTTAATATTATTCTCCTGTGTCATCCCTAACAAATAGGTAAACATTTTGAAAGCTCCTTAGAAGTTTTGCCTCTGGTCGATTTTTGTACTCATGTGCCACAGTCTTCGTAAAATTTGACAATTACTATGTCAAATTCCATATCTTACAAATTTTTGGTTCACATTATCCTACGTGACATTTTCGTAAAACAGTTTCTAGTTTAAACTTGCGACAAATTATTACAAACTCAGTTTTTGTAATAAGACGAAAACGCTCTAATTATAAAAAGTACGTACTTTTTATAATTAGATATACTATAATGATTAGTCTTAGATTTAAAATAATCTGTTTCATAAAAGAAGTTATATAATCCGAAATACGATAAATACTATTATTATTAGAATTGTTATTATATTTTAGTTACAGTCTATTAAAAGTCCACTACTGAACATAGGCATTCGTAATAAATTACTTCATAGGACATTTACCATAGTTGCAGCACTTGACAAGCGGGTTGGTCTTTGTTATTGGAAAGACGCTGCTGGCTGCCGTCCATCTACTGGGTTGTTTCGCTCTGTCGCCTCTTACGACACTCACGAGACAATATGGGGAAGTGGATATTCTTACTTTTCCTTTACATAAAATATATTATTATTACTATAATATATTACATAATACTATGTGTGAGATATATCCTGTTTTATTTTGTTTTATTCGATAGACGAAGGCATTTACTACACGGATCGCAAGACGCCGGTAAACGCCTGTTTCCTTGACCTCTCCAAGGCCTTTGACCTTGTGTCCTATGAGATACTTTGGAGAAAGTTGGCGGAGGGGGGAGTGCCGGCCGAGTTGCTGGAAGTGTTTAGGTTTTGGTATTCCAACCAAACTAACTTTGTAAAGTGGGCTGATTCTCTGTCGGAAGGATACGTGTTGGAGTGCGGGGTGAGACAGGGGGGGTTGACGTCTCCCAAGCTCTTCAATATGTATGAAATAAATGACCTTATCGTGGAGTTGAGCGGCATGCGCGTCGGATGTCGTATAGATGGCGTTGACATTAATAACATAAGTTACGCTGACGATATGGTGCTGCTCAGCCCAACGGTGGGAGGCCTAAGTGAAATGTTAAAGGTATGTGAGATGTATGCTACTGAGCATGGGCTCACATACAATGTCAAAAAAACAGAGTATATGGTCTTTGAGGCCGCTGGTAAATGTCACAATATTGCAGTTAATGTTACCCTTAATGGCATTAACGTGAAACGAGTCACTAAATTTAAATATCTGGGGCATATTATTACTGGTGACCTCAAGGATGATGCTGACATTGAAAGAGAGCGCAGGGCTCTAGCGGTTAGAGGTAATATGTTGGCTCGCAGGTTTTCCCGTTGTACAATACAAGTTAAGATTACGCTTTTTAAAGCATACTGCCAGAGCGTATACACGGGGAGCCTGTGGGTCAAACACACCAAAAAATCGCTTGAAGCCCTGCGCATCCAATATAATAATATATTCAGGATGCTGTTGGGACTGCCTCGTTTTTGTAGTGCATCAGGGATATTTGCTGCATACCAAACAGACGCTTTTAGTGCCATCATACGCAAAAAAACCGCATCCCTTATTAGCAGGGTACGAGCCAGTCACAACAGCATTCTGAGGACCGTAACTGACAGATATACATCGCCGCTGTGGAAATGTCTTGTGCAGAGACTGATTACTGGGTCCTATCCACCCCCATGATGATCTGTCTCGGTACAGTGTAATTATTTTATTTCCCTAGATTTTAAGCAAGCCATTGTACTACCACTGTAACTAACCCTTGTTATTATTATTGTGTTACTAACCCACATATGGATTTCAATTATCTGAAATAAAGAATTTATTATTATTATTATTATTTAAGACTAATAAACCGTCTCAGAATCGGATGCCTAGTTCTTGAGTTATTACGTTTTATTTAAAGTAATTTGACATCACTTTAATGCAGAACCGGGTCTTCACAGACACTGTGACGCATATGATAGCATAGAAGTAGAGTTATTTATTTGAAAACCGTGTAAAAAAGGCGACTCATTTATAATGGTTTCATGACTTTTTTGATAAGTTGATTTTTTACAGCCAATTTACCATCACTATCCTTAGACATTAACTTTTCGATTACAGATAAAGTCACAAGAAACAGAATATCGGACTAGGCTGTATGGTCTATGATCTTTGCCTGTCTTGATTGACAGATCGTAACAACAACTACATTGACAACTGATTTAATTATTAATTTTTTAGATGTTTACCTTTCTTCTGAGCGTGGAAATTGGTGAAATCTCACTTCTTTATTCGTGTAACATGACGATTTGCATTCTGCCACAGCACATGTCGTATGAACCATTTTAATTAATTATCTTTAGAAAACGCGTCAGCCCTGAAAGATGTATACCGAGTGAAAGACACAGACTAATTAGTAGATTCTACCCGAGTGAGAGTATTTGTTCTCAGTTCAGTTCATATACAGTAGTCTATGGAAAGAGTTTAAAATCACTACGTTTTATCCTAGTCTGAGAACTGGCGACGAATTTTGGGAAGGCCCTTTTGGCAAGTTGAAATTGTGAAAAAATATAATTTCGGCAATTTGCGAATCTAATCCCGAGAGTCTGGCAGAGCGGTTATTTCGTTACTGCGCAACATATAACGTTTGTAAAAAAAAATATCCAAAAAAATGTTTTTTTGGCAACTTGATTTCTTTTTTATCTTTTAATTTAGTTTTTATATTATTCAAGAAAAAATAATCCCAGACGTTTTTGTCGGTTATCTAGTATTACCATACCCCTCCAAAAATATTTTACTAAAATTTCCAAAAAATATACTTTTGGCAATTTCAAATTTTAATCATGTATTTAATGAGTAATTTTTATAATACCTGCAGATAATAGCCAGACAAATTTAGCGGTTATAAACAATTCCCAGACGTGAATAAAGTTTACAAATTAATACGACAAAAAAAGTCTTTTTTTTTATAGGAGAGGGGGCAAACGAGCATGCGGCTCACCTGATGGTAAGTGACTACCGCCGCCCATGAACAACTGCAACACCAGGGGAATCGCAGATGCGTTGCCGGCCTTTTAAAAAGGAGTACGCTCTTTTCTTGAAGGTCCCTAAGTCGTATCGGTCCGGAAAAATCGCTGATGGTAATCGATTCCACAAGGAGGTCGTGCGAGGAAGAAAACATCTTCTAAATCACACAGTGGTGGACCGCCAATCATCCAGATGGTGTGGATGGTATCGGGAGTTCTCCCGCGATGTGCGTTCATGAAATTTGGCGGCTGGGATTAATCCGAACAATTCCTCAGAGCACTCCCCATGGTAGATGCGAAAGAAAATGCAAAGGGATGCAACATCTCTTCGCAGTGCCAATGAAACGAGCCGATCGGAAAGGGCTCGGTCGTCGACGATTCGAGCAGCTCTGCGTTGGATGCGGTCAAGTGGAAGGAGCTGGCACTGGGGAGCCCCTGCCCAGAGATGGGAACAGTATTCCATGTGAGGCCGAACTTGCGCCTTGTAAAGTTGCAGGCGGTGTGCCGGCATGAAATACTGTCCCGCTCTGCTGAGCACGCCAAGCTTTTTAGAGGCCAATTTGGCCTTCCCTTCCAAGTGACCACGAAACTGCACGTCACTCGATATGTCGACTCCGAGGATACCGATACTGGCTGAGGCAAGAAGGGGAGTGCCTTGAAACTGAGGAGATACGACAAAGGGGTTCCTTTTAGCGGTAAACGCGCAAACTTGTGTCTTCTGAGGATTAAACTGGACTAGATTTAGTCGCCCCCAATCCGAGACTTTGCTCAGCAAAGACTCGACTTCAGACACAAGTTTGTTCCGGTACTCAGCGACGTTTTCCCGAGAAATATTGGCACGGCCGGTGTATAGAGCATCACCAGTGCTGTTATCCGCATAGCAATGAATGTTACCAGTTAGCAACATATCATTGATATGCAGAAGAAACAGCGTTGGTGATAGCACACAGCCTTGTGGAACACCAGCGTTAATAGGCTTGTAGTCAGAGCATGCACCGTCTACAACGACCTTGATGCTCCGATCTGCAAGGAAGCTGGTGATCCAATTGCACAATTTCTCGGGAAGCCCATAGGAAGGGAGCTTCGAAAGAAGCGCTTTGTGCCAAACCCGATCGAAGGCCTTCGCAATGTCCAGACTAACGGCCAACGCCTCCCCCTTGGACTCTACTGCCTCCGCCCATCTATGGGTCAGGTAGACCAGAAGATCACGAGCTGATCGACCCCGACGAAAACCGTATTGGCGGTCACTAATCAGCTGGTGATCCTCAAGGTACCGGATGAGTTGGCAGTTAATAATGGATTCCATTATTTTGGAGAACAAGGTGATCGCGATAGGCCTATAGTTGGATGGGTCTGAGCGGTCGCCTTTTTTAGGGATCGGGTGGACAAAAGCTGTCTTCCATGAATTCGGGACTACGCCTTGGGAGTAGGAGTACCGGAAAAGACCCAGGCTTGATAACACTCCTGCTTACTGCGTAATGCAGTCTTAAAGGAGCGACCAAACCAAGGCTGATATCTGCCTCCGATGGGTACCACAGATGATGGAATAAATAGTTCCATTCCCTGTAGCACCACATCAGTGACAGAGTCAGCGACAGCGCTGGGATCGTCCGGCGAGAAGCAAACCCGCCCCCATGGGTAGGATGCAAAGAAAGACCGCATTCCGTCTCAATCCGCCGACGTGTAATGCCAAACACGGCGGCAACCTGCAGAACGCAACCGCGAAGGGAGCGTGAGTGGCACCACACTCCGGATAAGACAATGGTCCGAAGAGCCGAGAGGGGCATCGACGGAAACCTGATATCCGGACGGATGAGAGGTCAGCAGAAGGTCCAACGGGGAAGGTGTATGATCCTCCACATCTGGAATCCGCGTAGGCGAAGTAACCAGTTGTGTCAGACCATATGCCACGGCAAAGTCATAAACAGATCTCCCCGCATGATCGGTTAGACGTGAACCGAGCCATTCGGCATGGTGGGCGTTAAAATCGCCAAGGATCACGATCTCTGCGGATGGGACCTGTTGTAGCAAGGAATCTGTAGCCATTTGGACGTGGTCGATGAGTCGGTCTGTTTCGGCATTACCGCTATGGGACCTATAGAGGCACCCGTAGACGCGCGGATGGTCGTCGCTGTCTACGCGTAGCCAAAGGATGGACAGGTCCGAACCTTCAAGACTGCCGAGGCGTCGAGAACAGATGTCCTCTCTGACATACACGCAAACTCCAGCCCGAGGCACAAAGGAATGCTCCAATTTGTACCCCGGGCAGGAGAGATACGAAATATCAGCCGGAGAGGAAACCTGCGTCTCGGTCAGAAAGAGCAAGGCCTGCTTCGCCGTCTCGAGATGGTAGTGGACGGCGTTTAGGTTAGAGTGAAGTCCCCTGATGTTGCAGAAATTCACGGATAGCGTGGCAGGCGTCGCCTTGGTGTTCTTGCTCAGTTTGCCCCTAGCAGTTATGCTTTTGAGCGGAATTTTGCCCCCCCCCCCCCAGAATACGCGGGGCAGCCTGAGCACCCACGCTCAGGATCGGAATAACATGGTCGTGGATGCTCAGCGAGGGATTCTCCAGGAGTACTGGTACCCTCCTGGGGTAGTTCATCGTGTAATTCCGCTACCATGTTGATGGGGGGGGGGGGGGAATTGGGCCTCCGGCCACCTGCACTCACCAGACGAAACGCAGAAGCAGAGCTTCTACTTCACGCCGGTATTCTGTGAGGTCGTGGTACCAACCCGGCTCGAGCCGGCCCATACATGCAACAGCAAAAACTGCTGCGTGGCTCTACCACCGTCTAACGCTCTCTTTTCGCTATTGGATATAATATAATTTATATTATGTCAAGAGATATAAATCAATATCGCTCACCGTACTTTTAAATGGAATCGTTTACACTGAGACCGAGATGTAGTATAATATATAACATTTCATACTATAAATATTTTGTCGGTCGACCGAGCGATATCTTCTTATTATATTTCGCCTCCTTTATTATATTTTGCACAATTTAAACTTGCTAAAAGGACCTTCCCAAAATTCGTCGCCAGCTCTCAGACTATCCTAAGTCACAGAGTACCTTTATATATACTGAAATAGAGACCTATCATCGACATTTAAAATGGTAATGCATAAGTAGCGCCATCTTTTGTCGCTAGTTAGCAACATTTTCTATAACTGTAGCCATAATATTTGTATAAAAGTGTATATCACAGAGTACCTTTGTATGAACCGAAAGTGTGTATATATATATATAGTATCTACTTCGGATCACATAGATATTAATAATTAAAATTAAATTAATAAAACTTGAATATAATGATTATATGATTAATTTAAAAAAAGGACCCAAGTACAACCTAATGCAGTTTCAGTAATGGATGCCATACACGATCAAGTTTACCGTCAAGTTTGCAGCGCGCTTGAAGCGGCGTCAAGTTTGCAGTGCATCCATTTAGGCCACACACGTTCAAGTTCGCCGTCAAGTTTGCATGATGCCGCATCAGTTGAAACCATGGCGTCACTAGTGACGGACGACGATGCGTTAGCCATCCTTGGCTTATTGCTCGCAATTACTTTGCAAAAACTGGTTAATAAAACGAAAAATATTATCTCAATAGTAAATAGCAAAAAATGTGAAACAGACAAGTGACGGCTCCGTGGCGCAGTGACTTAGTAATGAGTTGCAGCGCTAAGAGCCGCGGGTTCGAATCCCGGACTTAACAAGTATTTGTATGACCTACAAATAATTGTTCTGGGTTTGTTCTATGTATGTAAACTGTCCCAGTGATACAGAAGAAAATCCTAGTGTGGCAGTAACGTTTTTTTAAAAGAGAGGAAGAGAGACGACTAATGAAATTAAAATTTTTGTACAACCGACTTCAATACGAATACGCATTATTACGGATAATTCCAAAAGTACTGGTCAGATCTTGATCAAATTTATATGTGATGTTTAAATTATAAGCACCAGCTTTCAAATAAAATAGAATCATCAGAATCGATTCACCTAGAAAAAAGTTCTGAGGTTACACACATTAAAAAACAGTCGAATTGAGTACCTCCTCCTTTTTTAAAGTAGGTTAAAATGGTAAGTAGGTAAATTATCTGAGTTTCAAAGACGTTAACGTTGTTATAATATTAATTTTCCTCGATGCTGCTTATTAATCTTTCTCACATTGAACAATAAAGTTTTGGCTTAGCAATGAGTTGCAACGCTGGGGACGCGAGTTCGAATCCCGCACAGCACAAATATTTGTATTTGTATATGTGTAGATGTTTGTCCTCGTGCAATTTATGTTTGTTAACTGCCTCCACGATACAAAAGAAAATCCTAGTGTGTAGGTACCTAACGTTTTTTTAAGAAAATAAAAAAAAATATTTATACATTGCATAACACTTCGGTGTATTCT